CCTTCTGGAGACGGACATAGACTAGGTGCTCTTCTAACAATCTATTACAACATTCCCATCGCCCGTGAGGTATTCCTCAGAAGAGACAACGTCGAGACCTACTATCCATACGAGGCTGGTTGGTGGAGCGGCAGACCAATAGAACACCCCATCGCATCGTTGCAGGAAGATCCCAACTTTGTAGCTGACGATCGACGATTTGGCCAGGAGCTCCAGAAAGTCATGGCTTTCTTAGATCGGACAAAGCGAAGCTATGGCTCTGTGGATGTTATCACCGAACTTCCATACATGCAACAGAACGCTAGGAATGATGTTGAGACGGATTTTTTCCTGTGCTTTAAGAAATTGATGCAGGGCAAGGCACCATTGAGACACATCTTTTCTTCGGCTACTAATGCTCCAGATCCCGACTCTGATGGAAATACCATATTTGCCATATTCGACCTCCATCTTCCCACAAAAGATTCTCTTATCGAGAATCTTTATGATCTTGCAGATGGAGCTCTATGGGATGGTTATCCTCTTACTCTCGAAAACTGGCCCTTTTTGAATCATCTTGGCGACGTCATTTCTTTCAGAATCAAAGGTGATAAGATGAATGATCAGAAAGCAATTGAAGTGCCAGTAGTATGGTATCCTGATAGATATTTGCAGTTCGTATCTGAAGAGACATTAGCTATGCGTACGGAAAAGCACAATTTGCAGCTAAAAATTCAGGATATTTCTCGACAAGAGAGGCAATTGAAATGGACCACTCACAATGGAAAAACACTCCTAGTTGAAGATGTTATGAGATTGTCACTCAATCATGATCAGAATGAGCTTCCACCCAGCAATAAGAGCATAGGTGATCTTACCTCTGAGGTTCCCATGGGCGGATCAAAGAGTGCAGATTTGTCTAAAGGACTCAAAAAGTTGATGGACAATGTAAACGCAAAGCTGAAGAGTAAGTTCACAGAGACTGGCCAATGATTATCCAACTAACAGCAATTAGAACTACAAGATGAAAGAGAAAAAGCCAAAGAAGCTTGGAGAGAGCTTTCGAAGTTGTATACAGACCCCGCCAAGTCTTCTCGGATCTTGCACAGATATACTCTTCGTGGCGTAAGCTTGACTAAGGAGACGACCTATGTTTGCACCCGCATAGCACCGGATCTCATTGATTTCGCCGCCAATGAAGAAGAGCGTATTCCTCCTAGTGATGGTCAGTGGTGGAGAATGCACTTTAGTACCTCGTCTCCTCCTTCAAGAACAGTGGAAGTGAGTATTTTGAGAATTCAACTTGTGACAATTCATTAACAAAACAATAGAAAACCACCTTGGAAAAAGTTTTGGAGGACATTAAACTTCAGAATGAGACCGCGATTCTAGTTTATGCTTCCGATGTGGCAATGGAGACGGCTACGCGTTCAACACCACCCGAACTTGAGGTTTGTTCGTTCCTTTATGCGCCCTCATAATCTTACTAACAATTTCTAGACTTTCATTTATCACGATAATGCCGCTTTTAGAAAGGAATTGCCCAAGTCTCAACCTCCAGTGAATCCCCTTGACGAATCACAACACTCACCAAGATCGCCAGGAAAGCGTAAGCGTGAGCAGAATACATCTACCTCAGCCTACAATGACGAATGGAATGGAGTCGGATCTTCTTCAAACACTTCTAGAAACTCCAACACTTCGGTGAATGACGAGCGGAATGGAGTCAAAAATGAACCCTCGTACACTGACGCTTCGTGGGCGATGTCTCAATCGCAGGCTCTACAAACTCGTTACACTCTAAGTGACTCACTCATTGTGGGTGTCGATCCATTTCCCAACGACACACCACAAGAAATGCAAGAACGTAGTGGTAGCGGAATGTTACAAAACTTCACTGGCAATTCTGTTGAGAAAGGTGTGATTAATGATAGCATGGAGATTGAAGATATCGAGACTGATGATATGCAGCGTGAGGAAGAAGACCTCTCGCTGCCTACCCGTCAGAAAGATGAAGGCAATACAGTCAAGCGGGTTGGATTTGTTGAGTAGGTTTGGTTGTGGCTAGATGATATTTTGGGGCTTCTTGTGTGGTCGATGAACCAAGATGGATGGATGATATTTCAAAAGTGCATAATCTCATTCTGTACATATTGAGAAGCACAATACTCTGGAGGCATGAAATTTGAAGCTTGATACATCAGGTATGAGTCACAAATTCAGTAGACTAGAGATGTTCGTAGGATACCTAATTGAAGTAATAACAAATGTTAAAATAACTGTGCAATGGATCTTCTTTGCAGGTGTGCAAATATATAATGTGGGCTACTAAATAGCATTTGTTATTATTATGAATCGTCATTTCATTCCTCATTTCTCATATAACATTCAACCTAGTCGAGGAAGTATGTTTCTCTTCTTTCTATCCATCTGTCCATCCCAAGAAACTCGAAACAGCAGTCCAAATCATGCATGCTTGCTATATTCCGCTCTCACTCCAGTTCCGCTAGCTAATATAAACAACAGGAAATCCCTCCCCATACGCCGAAACCCCCAAAAAGCAACGCAAAATCCGCCTACAAAATATCTTTCAAAGCCCGCTTCTGCTCCGCCGTCAAACTCGTCGGGAACTTCACGTTATACTTCACGATGAAGCTACCCCTCGTGCCTGGTTGCTTGCTCAGGGGCATGCCCAAATCGGGATAGGAATCTGAGGAGCCGGGTTGGGTGGGTCCTCCTTTGTCGAGAGAGATGTTTTTACCGTCGATGGTTGTGACGGTGCGGTTCCAACCTGTTAGGGCTTCTTTGAGATCAAGGTCGACGGTCATGATTAGGTCGTCGCCGTCGCGAGTTAGGTATGGATGTTTTTTCTAGTGGGTGGGTTAGTATATTTCTCGTTTATGGGTAAAACGGGGGGAAGCCCTGGTGGGAAAGTAAAACATACCTCTTCAATAACAAAATGTAAATCTTGCTGTCCTCCCTCCTCCTGGTCACCCACACCCTTGAACTTAATCTTACTTCCCTTCTTCAATCCGGGTTTGATATCCATCTCTAGGATGCGATCGGTGGTTTGTCTCTTGCCCGTTTCCGGATCGAAAGTCTTCCGCTTGATCTTCATCTTCTTATGACAACCCTTGAATAATTCTTCCAAACTCAACGCTAGAGGTTTTTCCACTGTCGTTACCTCAGGCGTCTCTGCCCTCGGTCTCGCTGGTTCCGCACCCTGGAATGCCGAGCGTGCAGGTCTAGATCGTCCGCCTGCTCCTCCAGGACTAGAGCGAGGCATTCCTCCTCCCATACTTGCGAAAATATCGTCCATTCCATCCGCACCACCTCCTGCTCCTTGACCTCTCAAAAATTCACTGAAAATCGATTCTGGATTACTGAAACTAAATCCTCCACCGCCTGGCCCGCCCGCGCTACTAAAATCATAGTGGAAAGTCTTTCCTCTGGGCATGCCACCGCCCGATGAACTGAAGCCTTCGAAACCGCCAGGCATGCCTCCTGCGCTTGCATATGGGTTTCCGCCGCTGGTACCAGGCTCGGGTGGTGGGGGACCGCCGCGAAGCATAAATTCTAATCCATATTGGTCGTAAGTTTTGCGCTTTTCGGGATCCGAGAGAATTTCGTAGGCTTGGGATACTTCTTTGAATTTTTCAGCCGAGTCGGGTTTATCTTTGTTTTTGTCAGGATGGTGCTTTAGGGCCATTGCACTGTTGGTATGTTAGCTTTCATTTTTCTATGAATAAGCTGAGAGTAGCGGTGGAGATGAACGTGGGATGATTGTGAAGGAGGAGATTTTGTAATATTGTACATACCGATATGCTTTTTTGATTTCTTGTTGATTGGCAGAAGGCTTGATGCCTAATGCATCGTAAAGTTTTGTTTCTGCTACCATGTTTGCTACTCTTCAAATGTATTTTGCTATCGAGCTATGGTTTAAGAGGGGAAGCAGAAAGTCGTGAAGTTGTTAGATGAGCTGTATCCAACTTCAAAGATCAACAGCAAACTGCAAATTCTGGTCCAATGAAGATGTTGACTATCGACTATGAGATGCAGATTGGTTGTAGGAAGGCTGTAAAACGGTCGTCCACTAGAATTTGAATGTATGTCGTCAGTGACCAGGATCGCAAGAGAAAAAAAAAACACAGCAGACAAAGGTCGTATTATAGAAGACCTCTTAAAGGATTCGAAGGAAGGTCGTGTGTTGGGTTTTATGTGCTGGTTTTCCTAGTGGTGGCTGGCAAGTCTGGTTGGATTGATGGATTGGTTGATCTGGTGAGACTTGACGGATAGAAGGAACGAAAAATGGTGTTCGTTTGTTCTTTCCTCACAAGGAGAATACAAGGAAATTGTGAATTGTGAAATGTACATACCACTCTGATAAGATTCTTCACCAGATCTCGTGATTGTGATTGTGAGCTTGAGCGATGAGTTGTGTTCACACCCCCCTTCTTAATTTGTTGGCTAGTTTGGGTATCTGGGTATCTGGGTATCTGGGTATCTGGGTATTTGGGTATGAGTCCTACTTGTTGTCTTTTCCCTCGATACCTATCTTTTTTCGTGTTGTCGGAAGAAGAGAATATCGTGAATGGAATTGTAATCTTGAGTATACGATATGGATGGATGAATGGTCAATATCGAAAGGTGTGAATGAGTGTTGGAAGCTTTAAAATAAAAGTAACCGTTACTATTGATCTACAGTCTACCTAGGTAGGTACTCAGCGCAAAGTGTCTGGTATATCTATCTCTCTCTCTTCCATCAGCATCCCTCATCCACCAACAGAATCAAGAATCTTCCATCTTTCCCTCCCCGCCATTCACAGATTGGGCGGTGACGTTTTTACAGTGGGGGGGTCTGGGTGATGGATAGAACCGGGGATGCATCGATAGCGATGGAAGCTTCGAGAACCTTCTACCGTGTATACCATTTCTCCCATTTTTACTATCATAGACGGGATCAATCAATTGATCCAAATCCCTATACTCTTTGTACGATACTAAAACTAAAGAAATCTATGCAAGAAAACAAAGGAATCCAACAACCATTGTGCGTAGAATTGATTCTAGATAGATATATATCATATCTGGCACCTGACCTGAACCTTCAAATTCTATTGAGTCTGCCTCGCTACCTAACAGAGGTGACGATATATTTATGTCCCGAGGTCACTTCAGCTTCCCCAGCCACATTATCACCACCATGCTCACTAGCCACTTGTACGCGCTAAGGTTCCATTAATCAATCTGATCCTTGATCCTTTCTCTTCTGATGCTCTACAACTCCTACAAGCAACATTCATTCTGGCGGCTCACAGAACTACTAACGTCATCCCATTGAACTCACCATTCACACTTTCCACGACAGCAATGTTGGTGGTGAACGAGGCACGCTCATTAACTTTCCATTCCTTCCCAGATGACACTCCGGCAACGTCGGCATGCACAATTCTAAAGGCATCGCAAGCTATACCAACGATAGCGAGGATAGGAGCAATGGGCACGGGATCCAATAAACATCGCAGAGTGTAAGCACTATAGAGTCAAGCGTTACGCTCTCCCAAAGACGAAGTATCGGCGGCAATTGCACAGCACATGACTCACACTATAATCACCAAAAGTCTAGTTCAGAACAGCAGATGGAAATTTTCAACCCAAACTCCTTATACTTCTAGTAAAAATCCCAAAAAGCAACAAGTGCACCCATTTTATACCGCAACAGAAATCTTACTATCACGCTCCACGAACCTATCATTCTCCGCCATCATACCCGTCAAAAATTGCCCATTCGCATCCAAGGTACTTGGACTCTTGAATACGTTAAACTTGAAATCGTGCCACTCCTTTGCCGTCCAAGCCTTTCCGTTTGGGTCGCTGAATTTCACATCATCGTTCGGGCGCAAGAAATATGCAATGCTATACCGATCCACGTCTTGTCTTTGCTTGAGCGGAACGACACGATGCACAACACTCGCTAGCTCTCCCCCAGATGGAAAGCGGAGACTGTCACCGACGTTGATGATGGCGTGGCCAGCCCGGGGCTCGAGAAATTCCCATTGTTTAGTAACCGGGGAGAGGAATTGAAGACCCCATTGTCTAGCAAGCAAGAAGGTGAGAGTACCAACATCAGTGTGCTTGTTGTGGCCTACTCTAGTGGGCTCGGTGCCTTCTTCGTGTTTTGGATAGCGCAACATGCCAAGTGTTGAAAGCGAGGTCACTCCTGCCACAGGGTCGGCGTGATAGGACTCGAACCGCTTGGAGCCGGTGAGGCCTAGCTGGGTTGAGAGACGCGAGAGAATCATAAGAGTGATATTGTGAGCGTCTTTGATAAATGAGAAGAAGACGTCTGATTGGGAGCGGGCCGAGGAAGTAAGGTCAGTCGAGCCTTTGAGAAATTCTCGACGGGAAATCTATGAGAGAAAAATTAGTTGGGCTGAGAGATGGCATAAGCGGAGAGTGTTCCATACCTTGAGAGATTCGTAGCCGTCTCTTGTTTTTGGCTTGGGGCCCTCTTCGGTACCCATACCCTCATAACTGGGAACGGTGAGCGACAGATCCGAAAGATCCAAAGGGTTTGAAAGAAAACTTACCCAAAATTGTCATCCCCTCGAGCGTCCTGCATCTTAACTTTAAGCGACTGTTCAAAGTAATACTTCATTACTAGGAGCATTTCATCCCAGAGCTTGCATAACTCTGGATCGCTGGTCAAATCGAGATAGAAGAACCCATAGTTGCGACAAGCGTCGAGCAACTTCTTGCTCTCTGCTTCATTCTCGGCTCGGAGGAGATTGAGGTAAATGGTTGGCAAAGATTTTGAAACGACGATGGGGTCAGTGATAGCCATTGCTGGAGATTTGAAACTATGATAATGCTGATGAGAGAGTGTGTGAAGTTATAAAGATCTGGATTGAAATGATGCTTTGAATCCAAATAGTTGCAGCTTTAGACTATCTTATATAGCTGGAGGGTGGCAAGATCGTGATGAGCTTCAACGAGTGTTTGAATGACCGCTCGCATCTAAAGACATCGCCAGTGCTGACCAAGAGCTCACCCATGTGAGGATGTGATATGACAGTCAAGTTGCAGTGTCAGATCATGCCATGTCCACCTCTCTCCCTGATATCGTTGTCATATCAAAATAGTCCGGATGGTATCATTCAGAGTTGGGATGAAGTAGATGTTCGACGAGTCTATTCCTGAAACTACCATGTAGTACCGGATCGCGCATGTCCAGACCATTCTTCAATATCCCAGTACAGGGTTGGAAATTGGAAAGAATCTTTAGGTGCGCAGTTCATTTCGGTCAACGCCTGCGAGCGCCAAAGTGCTCTCATCAGGAATTTCCCTTCATCACACAAGCTTATTCTGACTGTCAAGTCCCTTGACTTTGACTGTCAAATCACGTCAAATCATGTCAAATCGTTTGTCAAGATCTGACCGCCTCGTTAACTTCACGATGATTGGCAGTCAACCCATCATTCCGATCTTACAACCATGACTATAAACGGCGTGCGAGACGATGCTACTCAAGATGGAATGTACGAAGCTTAGTGGGTAAATTGCCCATGGTATCATGTGATCGCTGTCGCCCGCCAGAAGAGTCTAGACGTGCGTTCTTCAAGCGAGGGGCGCTAGCTCTTGTATTGAAGCTTTGTTCGACACTAATCATCTTCCGATAAGCCCTAAGAGCGGGTGTAATTAAACATTATATTAGAGTATACGGCTTGGATAATGGCGCATTTCTTTAGTACTACGGTAGCATTGAAGAAAGCTCATGCAGCCCCTTGATCGCTTGTCTAATGATGCATCGCATTGCGTGATATCCTAGGGTGCGAGGGTGCGGGGGTTCTGCAAAAAAAGTCGCTTAAGTGGCAGCTGGGATCAGAAACCAAATCTTACTCATTCACATTTTTTCTCCACATCACAATCACGACATTGAAGTGTGCTGCAGGTTAGACAAATGATTTGTCTCCAGGTTACGCGATCTCGCAGTCTCGGGAGTCAAGCCCGGAGGGTCTTGCATACGGGAAAACTCAACTTTTTCACGTTCGCCACGCTGACTGACAAGGCTTATGCAATTAAGCGACAAATAAGCTTATGTCGCCACCAAGTAGCTTCAAGATGATACGAAGGTATTGGTGGCTTAATTTTTTATCTCCATAATTTTATGAAGATCTTAGCAATCTGAATCGGCTTGTAAACGATGATTAGCCTTGTGTTGCGAAACACTTCCTCCGTTAGCTAAGTTTATATAACAAGGGTATGAGCCGCCTCAAGTTGTATCTGCAGGGTCCTCCGAGAATTCTCAAGTTTCCTTACTCGTAGATCTGAGCTAGTTCTTACAAGAACAAATAAGCCATATTGCTAGGTAATTGATTTGCTTGCTAGCTTTGACATAAAACGAATTCATCCTCTGACAGCTTGGACTTCATCCCCGATGTAGGGTCCTTTGAGAATATCCAGTCTAAACTGTCTATGCTGGAGTAAATCACTTTGAGATCAAGTGGCTTGAGACAAACATGCCAAGAGTAAACTATATTCACCTCAGAAGTTTTTTAGGATCTAGATCTTTCTGTTTCTTCAATGTAACGTTGTTCGCATTCATATGCAGTCAACGGTTCGTCCTTTCTAATTCTAGATTGTGCGGGGAAAGTAGGGAATGCTCATACCCATAAGGCTCCTTTTCTTTGAACAAGGGTTTTAGAGTCGTAGTTCGCATCAACGCTAGCTAGGTTGCCTTTCTTCAAAGTTATATTTTGTGTGATGACTTGATTGGATCAGAGTACTCGTTTTCAATGTATACTAATCTTTCAAGGTCAAGGTCATCTTAGTGTAAGCGAAGAATGAGAATAGTAAGCTGTCCATCCATAAGATCTCTACTATGCATGTGATGAGTATAAACTTTGATTTCGATAGCGGTGAAGTGTGAAGCTGTAGATACTTAGTCGTCGGCCGTAATATCGGTGGCGAAATCAACTGTAACATGCTACATCTTCCTGCCAACGAAAGAATGAATCCTAGTAGCTGCAGCGTGCCATCTTCAAAGATCTAGGATGGCCAAGCCAATGTAATCAAAGGATACAGTCACGTCAACCGAGGTGATTTGGTGCAATCTACAACAAACGTCAGCGAGGTGACCACTTCAATTTAGTAAGATAAGTAACAGCTGTCTAAGAACACTTGCCATTCCGCAAAGTATAATTAGCCATTGCGATCTTACTTGAACTTCTCAACAATCTCTTGGATAGTCAAACTTCAATCTCAATCCATTCAAGACACTTTACTTTTCACAATCTTTTTCTACAATCACTTATCACAATGGTACGTATACTATTCCAACCTAAAGGCAATATACTAACAAGAGCAGAGTAAACAATCCAACGGCGTTAAGCTCCCGCGGCCAGCACAAAAGTTTGAGGATGTGCTTCCCCTCCCTCTCTCCATGCAACATAGCAAACCTATCGAAAGTTTTGCGGACATTGCGAAGCTCGATGATAGAGATACTCCCGTTGTCACCATGTTCAGCGGTGGTCTCGACAGCACATATTTGCTCCTCAGACTCCAAGAGCTCGGCTTTACAAACATCCACGCTGTGGCAGTAGACGTTGGGGCTCCTGTCGATGTGGACGGGCTTACCAAACACGCTGCTCACTTCGGCGCCCAGTTCAAGTGTCTCGATGGTCGCGAGCTTTTTGTTAGAGATGGTGTTATGCCAGCTATTCGTGCTCATGCAATGTACTTGGGACAGTTCCCCATTAGCAGTTCGCTCACTCGTCCGATTATCGCGCGTCTGGTCACCGATTATGCTAAGTCTGTGAACGCGGGCTTGCTGCTCCATACGGCCAATTTGTCGCAGAATAGTTTGCCTCGACTCAATAACTTTATTCGACGTCTTGGTTACCCTGGAAAGTTCGGGAGTCCCTATCCTCAATCTGTCATCTCGCGAGAGAAGAAGGCTGAAGAGCTTTCGGTAGCTGGCTTGTCCATCATGTCTGAGCGTAAGCTTAGCGGTGATGAAAATCTATGGTGTCGGGAGTTTGAGGACGGCCCGTTGGGTGATCCAGAGGGTTTCTCTATCCCAGAGAATGCTTATGAATGGACAAGACGCTACAAAGAGCACGCGACACAAGAGCTCACACTTGGTTTCGAAGATGGAAACCTCATTTCCGTTGACGGGAAAAAGCTCCCTCTTATTCAGGCTATTGCGCTTCTCAACAATGAAGTAGGAAAATATGGTCACGGTCGATTTGTAGGGCTTGAGCCTCTTAGCACCGATCACAAGGTTCTCGAGATCCGCGAAGCTCCTGCTGCTGCCATCATCATGGATGCGCTTCGACATCTCGAGATTGCCACTTTGGAGACCAAAACGCTCGAGTTGAAGCAGCAGCTGGAACAGAAGTGGACTCGGGAAGCTATTGCTGGGCATTGGGGTAGCGCGTGTCATACCATGTGTGAGGTCGCTATTGCTGCATCTTTGAATGGGGTTGGTGGTACTGTCACGTATGTGATTGATTCTGTGCGTTTTCTGCCTTGTGCTATCAAGGCGCAGAATCTTTGCTATGTGAGGGATCGGGATCAATGGGAACAGGCTCAGCAAGTCCTTGGGGAGGTTAGAAGTATCACGTAGAAGTGGGGTATCAGGGGTGAAAATAGGGAATGGGTATTTTTGAGGGGCTGTTTGTATCTACGTCGGTTGGTTACCTGTGTCTTCTTTCTTTTGTAGCTTCTTTTAGTTCGTCAATCGATAGAATCAATACTTTCGATGCTTTTCAAAGTTTGCTTGATACACCTACCTACAGATAGTGATCTAGAACAATTTTTCGAGTGTTGTTATGTTAATGTTGTGTTGTGATGCCAGGGGTAGAAATGACAGGGCCCATATAGCCGCAATGCAAGGATAAGATCAACACCTAAGACTAATGGGGCTGTAAGATTATAGTAAGCCTACATTCGGGGATCCGGTATAGAGGAGACCGGTGCAATCGACAGGGGGTTTCGTCTGTGGAGTGTGGCCACAAAGCTTGGACCACAGAACCATCTTAACTGGGCACCTAGGTACCTAGGTGCATATGCATGGCGCCATTTGCAGGGGTTTCTACCCCCGCCCTCAAGTTCCCATACTTATTAAGCTATAGGCGTGCCTGGGTGGGTAGGTAAGCTGGATATATAAATACTGTGTATTTTCACCTGCACTCAGGTCTCTGACAAACGCATATGCAGTTGTTTCGATTCAGAAGATCGCATTCTCTTCTGCAGTGTTTGACCTCGGCAAATTTACACAGTAAGCGACGGAGTGTTAGAAACCACACGTGTGGCTCAAAGATCGTATGTGTAACCTGACCCCAAGTCCTCAAGCATCTCTTCCCTCTCTTCTTGGATTTTCCTGCACGTACCCAGGTACTGATAAATCAGTAGATGTCCGAACCAACCAAACTAATCTATCAACAAGATGGAGACAAGCTCCTCCACCCCGCCACAATCCTCTCCATCATCCCTGTCTCCGCCCTCCCAGACCCCGACCAATCATTCCTGAAAGACTCCCCCGACATCGAACATGCCATCATCACCGACTCCACCATTTTCTACGTCCAAGGCGGCGGTCAGCCCTTCGACACCGGAACCATGACCTCCGAGATCCCCCGCAAAAACACCTCCATCTTCGAAGTCAAATCCGTGCGTCAGCCCGCTCACGGCAGCCAAATTCTTCACCTCGGCCGCTTTTCCCCCGCGGGAACGCCGCCCTTCGAGAGCGGAGAAATCGTGCATCAACACGTCGATGCCGAGAAACGAAATCTGTATTCGCGTTTCCATACCGCGGGTCACATTCTCAGTCTTGCTATCCTGGCGCTCGTTCGCGAAGGCGTGCTTGCGCCGCTGACGGAGTCAAAGGCGTCGCATTATCCGGATGCGGCGGCGGTGGTGTTTGGAGGGACGATTGAGGGGAAGCATAAGGATGTGATTCAGGCGAAGACGGATGAGTTTGTGAAGTTGGCGAGACCGGTCAAGATTCATTGGTGGCCGATGGAGGAGGTGAGGGAGAAGTGTAGTGGGGTGACGGATGATTTTGCGTTGCCGGAAGGAGAGCTCATGGCGAGAGTGGTGGAGATGGTGGGCTTGGGGAGTTATCCTTGTGGGGGGACCCACGTGCATGATTGTAGTCAGGTGGGAAAGATTGAGGTGAAGAAGATTTCGCGTTCGAAGGGTATGACGAGGGTTTCGTATAAAGTTACATAGGTTGTTTTGTTGTCAATGAGAATCTCAATTTTTTCTAGTTGTGATTGAAAGTCTGGACAAAGAATGTTATGTTGGCAATTGAAACAATTGTTCTTGCACATGTTCATTTTGATGTGATGTAGCATCAAATTACTGAAATGTCTGGTTACAGCTTACTATTTACAACATATAGTACTTATGGCTAATCCACTCTTCAAATTTCCTAGAGAAAAAGGTCACAATTATATATGAATACCCATCAGCACGATAGTTGATCTGTATGTATTTCTCCTAACTACTTAGATTACACGCTTTTGCAAGGGGTCTCAATCCATAGTATTGAACAGGTTAGATCATTCAATGTAACTCAAGGTACCTCGCCACTCCTTCAAAGAGGGGGACTAAGATCAAGTCCAGTCACCGTCAACTTAAACGCATCATTTCTATCAAATCATGTTAGAAACGTCCGAACCATTCCCCGAGAACAAACATACCTTGAATAACTCCCCGCAACATCCAAATCCAATCTCCCTCTCACACAATCATCAAAATCAACCTCAACCGTAATCAACCCATCATCATCCTCCCACAACGGTCCTTTCAAAATCTCTCCTTGCGGAGAAACAATGCAAGAACCTCCTCGAGATGCAAACTCCTCGCTTTCGGATTTCTCGCCATAGATCCACGCTGGCTGGTTCTGTTTCTTGATGCATTGATTAGCACTCAGGACAAAGCATCGGCCCTCGCAAGCTACCGTTCGCATGAGCGCCGTCCAGGCATCGCGATTATCAGCGGTGGGAGCAAGATAGAGATTGACGTTTTGACTGTAGAGTGAGTGGCGCAAGAGAGGCATGTAGTTTTCCCAACAAATAGCAGCTGCTAGGGTTAGTTTGACGCCTTTGATGGTGGTGGTTACGGCGCGGAGTGAGGATGGTTGGCCTTGACCCCATACCAAGCGTTCGCTTCCTGTCTGTATATAGTAAGCAATTTTATCCGGGAGGTGAAGATGTTTCTTGAAGAAAGACTCACCGGCATCACTTTTCTCCTTTTACCAATGACTGTTTCCAGGTTACCTTCTACTCTCTCACAAATCTATCACGTCGAGATAAATAACACCCACCTCCCAATTTCGGACACACGTAAACCACAGCACAATAAAGCGTTCCACCCGCTCTCTCCACAAACCCCGTCACGATAAAAATTCCCGTCTCTCTTGCCACCAACTCCAGTTCCTCGCGCGTCCCATCTCCCCTTCTCACATGACTACTCCCTTCTCCCTGTCCCTCCAACTCCCTCTTGACCCATTTTTCTCCCGCCCCTTCAGGCGTATCACCCATATCCACCGCATCCTTGAAATAATTCAAAAACTGCTCTCGACCTTTCTGATCACGCGAGCCCACCACAGCCCCGAAATCCGCTCCCCGGGGATACCCACCGAGATAGGCCTCGGGGAAGAGGATCAAATCCGGAGCGGGGGATAGCTTGGACGCCTTGCGACACTGAAGTGACAAAGCCTCGAGCGTTTCCGCCGTGGTAGACAGCGTGTGAGATTGGGAGACTGCGAGGGTAATAATTTGCGGTGCGGCCATTTTCGCAGATCAAATGCTACGAGATGTTTCTCTGCTAGAAAAAAAATTGTTTCACGATAGTGAGTGAGCTTTCCCTCCGCGAAATGCTGAACACGTATTATAGTCTGCGGGGATCAAAGTCTCGCGTTCAACTGTTGGGCATGCATGGGGTTGCAGCGTAAGCACTATTCCCGATTGGAAACGTGCATAGCACGTGCTACGCAGTGGTTATTCATCATATAATCAATCAACATGTGTCACATCTATTAACATTTTGCAAATTGCAACCACTAAGTACCATAAGCCTCACCGACATTCGATCCATCTCTTTGCCACTTGGAGGTAGTATCGCTTGCACGAAATAGACGCCTATTGAAATGATCCCACGGAAATCGCTGTCGCATCCGAATCGCACTATTGGTGGAATATGGATTTCCTCGATCTGGACCTATCTCTACCCCCTATCCATGAACCAGCTGGCTTTGTATCGAGCAAAGCACGCCACGAGCCACCAATGAGGGGTTCCCCATCCCGATATACATCCTGCATGCATCGCGCACATAATCTTCCACAGAGCACATCTAGATCGTCTCCCGGGATATGCAATCCTTGTAGGGGACTTTTTTTCTCCGGGTAGCCGCAGCAGCCTCCTGCAACGTTAACATTGTGCGAGGAACGCTAGTGTGGATAGCGTAAAAATCTACTCCCGCGCTCTAACTCGAGATTACGCGAGAAACTAGTCCGTGTGAGGATGGCTAATCAGTGTAAGAATTAGAAGGTGTGATTATCGTGGAATCTAGATCGAGAATTTACGATATGCTAGGGTGATCAGCGAAGGTAACATTATCTCGTTGTTCAGTATTTATTCAGAGTGCATATGCGTTAGGGTTAGTGAGAAATGGACTTCGGAAAGCCTATGCACGATGGTTACTGGAATGGGCGTTGTTGCCGATGCTGGTCATGAGCTGAGTCAGATACTGTTGGATGGACCCTGCCGTGGGAAAATCTTCAAATAGGTGCATGAAGTAAATGATTTTTGCCGTTTTGTATGTAATCACCGAGGTTGTTGAATCGTCCGCTTCTATTTCCTTTGAATCTTTTCTCCTTCTTCTGACTTGCCTTTCTGATTGTGAATATCGGTTGTTTGACTACAAACACCTTTTCGAGGAACTGCTAGGTAAGTTGGACTCTTCTTCTGGAACGTTCAGAAATACTGATTTGAAATCATAGATTCATCTATTCACCTGCGTCATAGAAGAATTCTTATAGTCAAGTGAATCAGATCAGTATACCTACTACCTATACATTCTAGTGCTCAAGTGGCACTATTTCCTCAACCGACTTCATCAAAATGGCCGAGAAGGAAGAGTTCGAAGTCTATCCAGAAGCTCTGAATGAAGCTGAGGATGATATCATCAAACCCGAGACCATCAAAGAGAGAAGCCTAAGAGTGCTTTCCCGAACGAAGAGTGCAGCGAGTTGGAAAGATCCAGGTCCTCCTCCCGATGGCGGAGTTGTCGCCTGGACGCAAGTCTTGGTCGGACATTTAATCATTATGAATACCTGGTAGGTTCTAGTCTTTCGTATCCGTGATTTACTGCTTTAATTCCTCGAAGAGTTTGAGCGTGCTTCATGTCATTCGAAAACCTATGATCATGCTGACTATAGTCTAGGGGTTTCATCAACTCGTTTGGTGTCTTTCAAGAGTACTATATCGATTTTCTTGGTCGTTCTCCCTCGGATGTATCGTGGATCGGGAGTGTCCAGGTATTTCTAGTATTCTTTATTGGAACATTTACGGGTCGTCTTACCGATGCTGGCTACTTTCGTCCAGTCTTTTGTGAGTAACATATTTTTCTTCCTTGCTCTATTTTATCTCTGGCATGTAATATTTTCTCGCTATTCGCTAGAGTCATACTACCTCGAGGCTTGCTCTAAATGAAAGCACGACGCTAATTCTATGTAGTGGTCGGGACTGTACTTAGCGTGATAGGCATGTTTATGGCCTCCCTATCAACACAGTACTGGCAATTATTCCTCGCTCAGGGAATCTGCTGTGGTCTCGGCAATGGGTGTCTATTCTGTCCAGCGCTCTCAGTTGCATCTACATACTTCTCAAAGAACAAGATGTTAGCCGTCGGCATTTGTGCGTGTGGTAGTGCTACAGGAGGCTTAATCTTCCCCGTCATGTTTCAACAACTAATCACACCTCTTGGCTATGGATGGACCATGAGAATCTTTGGTTTTTTCACTACAGGCTGTTTGACGATCTGTAACATATTAGCGAAACCGAGACTTCCACCTCGTAGAACAGGTCCTATCATTGAACTCGCTGCCTTCAGAGAAGCATCCTACACCCTATTTGCAATAGGAATGTTCTTGGTCTTTTGGGGTGTCTATTTCGCTTTCTACTACTTGAGCTCGTTCGGGGTCGACATCATCAACATACCCCAAAAAGAATCATTCAACATGTTTCTCATCCTCAACGGTGTTGGCATTCTAGGACGCACCGTTCCCGCGTATCTTGCAGATCGCTATACAGGACCCATGAACATTCTCCTCATGGTCACCGTCGCCTGTATCATATGTGCGTATGCAATGATTGGAGTTACATCCCGAGGAGGTCTCTATGCATGGGCAGTGGTATATGGAGTTGTTGGGAATGCTCTTCAAATGATGTTTCCAGCAACATTGAGTAGCCTGACAACGGATTTGAAGAAAGCGGGAGTGAGAATGGGAATGATTTTTGTGAGTCCCCTATCCACATATTTGAGTAGCAATGAGAAGGAAAACTGACTTCGCTAGACGATCGTGAGTTTCGCAGTGCTGACAGGTCCGCCCATCGCTGGTCTTTTAATCACAAGAGATAACGGTCGCTATCTATATGCTCAGCTCTTCGCAGCATCGTCTCTGCTCGTAGGATTCTTTTTCCTCTGTGCAGCTAGATTTGTGGTTACTGGAAAAGTCTTGCTTTACAAGATTTAGGCTAAAGGTATCAAACATGACGCGATCGCGCGATATCATACGAGATTATCACGATCCAGTATGATTAATCGGAAACAAAGACTATTTAAATCAATAGAGGCACGTCTAAGGGATAGATGGCATTAAAAATCGCGCTCAAGATCAACCGTTCTTTACCTACAACCAACTAGGTGCATATAGCAGCACTTCTGCCATTTACAACAACCTGAATCATCAGATAGGAGCATTGAAAATAACCTATAGAAAAGTTGTGAGGTGTCATCGTTGAAAAAAAAAAGTCTTAGATGGTTTCCCCAGATCGATCTCAGTCGGGAAAATTTCGTATGTAGTTATTATTAAATATGAGAGAAATGAAATATATGTGTCTCGTAGGTAGTTTACATTCATCCCATCTACCGTATCTCATAACGTCTCTGTAACCGCGCCATGACGTACCACAAACCACATTGAATAAATAAGAAGAAAGGTAAGAAATTGCTCACAATTTCGCCAGCCAGTATCTAATATCTAACATCCAGCATCCAATACATCACGGACCTATCATACAACGTCTTTCCAAATCATCTTCAGTCTTTCGTCCTTTCATACTATCAATTTCCACTTCTCGCAATCGCTCCTTCTTGAAAACTTCTCCTATCTCGCGGCCTGCACAACAGCCGCTCCTACCAAACCTCCCAATTCACCAAAAACGACCCCCTTGAAAATCGCTTCTCCCATCTCTTCAGCCCAATGTCCCGCATCCTTCAATTTTCTCTTCCAATTTTCTTTTTGCGGGGCCGTCAATTCATCCCATGATTTACCTTCATGTTTTTCCTCGTCGTGAAGAACTGCTTTTATAGATGAAGAAAGTTCTGGCGACGTAATATCGGGGGACATTTCTTGGGTTTCAACATCTGGGACAGGAGGTCCGTGGTGAAGGTAGAGCTTAGAAGGAGCGGAATTAGGAGAGGGGGAGCGGAGGGACGCGAAGAAGTTTGGGGTAGAGGCGGAGGGTGTATCCGACAGGCTTGTGGAGATCGGAGCGGAGGAGATGTGTGTATTGAGTGCGTGATAATTAGACGGAAACGTGTATGGTTTTCCGATTGCCTCCTGTAAGGGTACCGGTAGATACTTTGCGGCGCCTAAATGAGGTTCCACAACCCCCCTGATCTCTAATACACTTTGCGTTAGGATTGCTGCTAATAACGTTAGGAGCATAGAGACGATGATTCCGAAAGAGTAAATTGCTTTGCTTGAAGGGAGAGCGACGACGTAACGAGGTGTGCTTGATTGGCCTCTTTTAACAGATAAAGGAACGGGGAATAGTGGGAGGGTGTGGACGATAACCGTATTACTGATACCTGTACTAGCGAGTTTGAGGTGCTGAGGAGGAGTGCTTGCAGTAATAGATTGGGTGGGAGGTGTAAAGGTTGAGAATGTAATTCCTGTAATTACTCCAGGGTGAACATTCTTGAATTTTCGGAAAGGTTTGATAGGTGTGACGAGGTAGTTATTTACTTCGTGTTGGAGATCAACCTTGAAGAGGGAAATGGAAATATCGTGGCCAGCGACCGCAATCACGAATTGAGTGTAGCCTTGCTCTCCATCGGGAGTTGATGGTGGTGTAAGGTTGACAACTGCGAGCCCAGTAGCCTTCTTAACATTGGATGGGAGTCTGTGTGATTGCGCGATTCTGCACTGTCCTTTGCCACTGGGTGGTAATCTGAGAATCTGCAGTACTACACCTCCCTGGCTATGGATGTTCGTGAGCATGATGATGAAATCCTTTGTCAGCCATCTCATCGATCTGAAAGACGGTATCGTGACTGGCTCCCCACTTCTTGAAGCAGGTGTAATATATACACACTCAGGTTCTGCCCCATCATCTATTGAGCCAAGCTTTTTAACATATATATCTTGCTCATCGGCGTACGCGAAGAGATAATCATCTTTGCCAGTTTGTATGAAATCCATGTCAACAATTTCCTTCGCCAACTTTATAGCACTCCTCGAAGTAGGTGGTCCATTTTGCGCAGGTTGGAAAAGTACTATTTCAGAATCCTTCGCAAACCCAGTCGCAATCGCACCCCATTGTGCTTGTCCTGCATAAGGTCGCGATAATCGAATGACCCTTTGGTATAAATCCCTCTCGACATTGGTAAATAATGGGCATCTCAAAACCTCGGATAATTTGCTCGTTATCGCAGCAGGCTCTGTAGCCTTTCCCTTTCCTTTTGAAACCGGGCTTATCCCAATAACTCGAAAGTGCGCATTCGTCCCTCTAGCCAAGTCCGCCGGACTGGAATTTACTCCGGCGAATATTAAGGTTGTAGCCCCTTGAGTTTGGCCGACTGCAAGACTGGCGACATTGTCTTCTTCTTTACTCAGGTCTAGCTCGGCAATCTCAACAAGCTCGTTCGGATTTGAAGTGTCCAAGAGGGTCTAGAGAGTATAGCGATTAGCACATACATAAGAGGAAATCAGTTTCCAATATGAATCTCTCTCTCAAGAAGACATATTCTCAGACTCACAATCTTGTTTTCCACGCCTGATCTTCCTGCACCTCCGCCCCCACCAACTACTAGTCGTGAGGAATCTATCGGATCAAAGTCGCAAGCATACAATGGATATGGCAAGGTCAATTTTGCAGACGGTGTTAAAGGCGCCATCTTTTGAAATCGACTTTGGAACGTTTAAGATGATTTGTGTGAAGAAATCCCCAATTTTGTGCAATAGAACTGACGTTCTTAACTTAAATTGTTGGGCAGCGTCTTGCAAGGCTAGGTATACCAGTGACGAGGCCAGATCTGTCAGGCTGACCGAGGCTAGACTCAGATAGGACACTAGTAAGGTTACCTGCGCACCTAGTAGTTCTAGAAGCTTTTTGGGGGCTCGGGGGTCAAGATTCGGGATGTCCGTTTTTATGCTTTTACATTCTCTCTCCAGGATTCATAATATATAAGTACCTACCTAGGTAGTAATTCCGGTATCAAAACAAAACCACACATGGATTAGTAGTAGCATCACACTTTCTTCATAATCACCATCATTACAGTATCTGTGATATTTTTAACTCTTCTTATTTCTCTTCAAATAATCTACCTGACGCCTATTACTGCCCTTTCCGGCCATCTTCTCGTAAAGTATATCCTCGTTTTGAGGCCTACTTTCGAAAAATCCCCAAGGTACCTAGCTATCCACAAACTGGAAGATCATCGAGAAGCCAAAGTAGGTAAAAGCAGAACGTGAAGTTTGTTCCTTTTGGCCCAGCTTTTATATGCCTCCAGATATGTCATTGACATGCGACCACGATTATTCAGATCTTAGATATGTCGCGCAAAGTAAACAGAATGTGAAACTCCCAGAAACTCCGGGCATTCATGCTGTTGGTATAGTATAGGTACCACACAATATAACCCACGATGTAACCTGCGTTATGTCGCAAAATAAAATTAAATCAGCTTTAACTGCTTCCAAATACGAACTCGAAATGCCACCAATTGCTCGCTTTTCGTAAACGTTCTATCATTAACTCTCGTAAAGTTTTTTGGTTGTTTATTTGGCGTTCTTTCGGAAATGTAGGAGGTTAGCTAAGCTAGCAGTATCACACCCATGCTTCAAGAAGTCGTGCATCAGCAGTTCATCTGCAGATGCTCTGCTTCTAATATCGACACAAAGACAGACGGACAAGAAAGCCTTGAGTTCTTTGCTGAGCTTTTCAGGCTTCTTGAGACGAGGGGTGCCATTTGTGGCAATCAAGTATAGAGCTTTAAGAGGCTCCTCGTTGAGATATGGGGGTTCAGATTCAATCATCTCAATAGCCATGATACCAAGAGACCAAATATCAACCTTTGGTCCATATTCCTTTTGCTTGACAACTTCAGGAGCCATCCAGTAAGGAGTACCAACCATGGTGGCGCGCTTGGATTTAGATTCGGTGAGTTTGGCGCAGAATCCGAAATCGGCTACAATCACGTTAGTACAAAGGAATATTAATCATTTTGGATGAACTTACTGATCTTGACATTACCACGTGCATCGAGCAGAACATTGTCACTCTTGATATCACGATGGATAATGCTTTGTGCATGCAGATGCTCGAGTCCACGGCAAGTCTATCAAAAAGTTAGTACAGATACATAGAACAGATTGTCGGATTTGAAATATACCTCGAGGCAAATGGTGGAAATTTGGTCTTCAGTAATGTTCGAGTTGTTGTCAATAACGTCGGTCAAGGCACCTCCCTCCATATACTCCATAACTACCCAGAGTTCGGTATAGTTGTTTCTCAAGAAAGCATCGAGGAAATTGACAATGTTGCGATGCTTGCTATCCTTCATAACCATGATCTCGTTTACAATCAGCTCCTTTCTCGGTTGGTGAGCCAAATCCATTTGTTTAATTGCGACTTGAGCTTTGCTGCCTTGTTGACGCAACACTTCACGAGCAACAGGAGATGCTGGGTTTTCTTTGACCTTCGCAACATATACAGAGCCTGAAGCACCTTGTCCAATTTTCTTCTGCTTGGAGTAAGAAAGGTTGGGGTCATCCTTGGAAACAGCTTCCTTCAATTTAGCCATAACCTCGTTCTCGGACATGGTTGACATTCTAACATCCTTTGTGCGCTCAGAAGCGGCTGGTTTAGCGGTAAGAGCAGCTTCTGCAGCTTTGACCGCATCGTTTTGTTGGGCGCCATTAGCAGCTGGTTTTGGTGCAACATTAAGTGGCTTGACGTTGTTGACTGGGGCAGGCAACCTAGACGGTGGTTGTTGTTGCTGAGCTGGTCGCTGCTGCTGGGATGCACTTGCGGCTTGGCCATTTTGATATCGAGGATCTTGTCTCTCGGATCCATTTTGGTCTCTCATAGAAGAGGAGCTTTGCTGAGTGGTAAGTGGTGGTCTGGCTGGACCATTCGAAGTTGGCGCAGACGGAGCTTGTCTCTGGGCTGGTCTTTGAGCAGCGGTTTGTTGTCCTTGCTGTGGACGAGGGGCAGAAGGTGCCACCCTAGTCGGGTTGTAGCGGTCTTGGGATGGACTGCTCGAGTAACCACCGCCACCAATCTCCTGTTTGGCCACTGGCGTGCGAGTTTGAGGAATTGATGCGTTATAATTTTCCATATCCAGTCGGTTCTGTTCGGCGATCTCAAATTCTCGCTGTCTTTGCGCAGCCAGTTGCATCTGTCTCTGTTCCTCACGTTGATCAGGAGAAACATAGTTCGATGCCATTTGTTGCATTTGATTGCGCTGCTGACTTTGCTCTGGGGGTGTGGGTCTTCTTGGTTGTTGCTGCGGCTGCTGCTGTGGCGAGCCGTAACCATTGTTGCTTGGCTGCTGTTGGGGTTGAAGAGGCCTGGGAGGTGCGATAGAATTACCTGGCATATAACCAAGTTGCTTGTTTTGATTTGGAGCGACAGATGGTGTAGGTGTCAAACTCGAAAATTGCTGGGGATTTTGTTGACGCTTGGTGATGTCAGAGTAAAATTCCAGAACTTCAAAAACAGCCTGGGGGTTTCTCTCATAATCTTCCTTGGTAATAGCTGAAGAGTTCAACAATTTTGACCACTCTGCAGGCAATCCGACAAACTCTCCAGTATTGGGATCGAAACCGACATGGACAGAATGACTGAAATTAGTTGGGTTGCTGACACCGCCCATTCCAGGGCAACGGGCATAGATGAAGTCAATCCATTCGTACAAATCGTCATCGCTCTTCACTTTGATCTGGAGAGTCCTCCCAGTACTATCATCATCTCCTGGGTTGTTTGATGAGCCGTTCATGGTTCTCCTGATTTCGAAGATAGTTCCCGCGGCCTCAACTCTTGAAACTCCGAGAACATCCTTGAGTACAATTTGATAGGCAACTTTACCACCTTCAGTCTTATGAAAATCGAGTGCTTCCTTTCGGAGGATAAGCCACTTATTCTTCCAAGGGCTGATGAAGTTCTTGCCTTCCTTGACTGAAGCCCATCCCTCCTTGATCACTGCGACTCCTCCTTGTCCATCCATATTGGTCTGTTGTCGAGCTAAAGGAAGAGAGACGGTCGAGCCAGAGTATGTCGATGTGGCGGTTCTGGCGATTGGAGAATTGATGCTTAACTGGGAAATGTTAGGGGCAGACACATTTCCTGGAATATTCGCGGTAGTAGGAGTGTAATTTAGTCGAGGGCCAGCAGGAGGTCGAGGCGCGGGTCCCGGGTTCATGAATTGACCTGGTGTGTAAATGCTGATAAATTATTCATTAGCTTTATTCTTGTATGGATCCACAAAGGAAGTAAGTGAAGAGAATCATCCAACAGCAGCTACAAAACATATAAAAGGTCCTTGAAAGGGCAAATGAGATTTGTCCAAACCAAAACTCGGATATACATGGAGAGTTCGAATTGTTCCAACCAACTGCTCTGTGCAAATGAACAAGAAATGAGAAATTACATACCTATTTTGTGAAGCCATCTTGATGGGAAGGCAGAATTACAACTTAAAGAACAATGTATGCAAGATTCTGAAAGGGAACAAGCAGATGGAAAGCCGCGGGGTATCGTTGAAAGAGAAGACAAAAATGACTGTATTCATAAATATTAGCATTTAATTATTACTCTTTGGATGAAGAAAGTATAAAAAAGTGCAATCACATACAAAGTAAAGGCTGGGCTGGAGTGAGTAAGAACTCCACCTGATCTATTCGTTATAGACAGTTGGAGAATCGAGGTTGTTCGAGGTCGCAAACCAGGGGATCAACAAAGACCGAGTTGCCGTCGCACAACAACGTCCAGCGTTTTTCTTCTTGTAATGTTGAAAAGTGGTGAATGGAGCTTTCAGTATATTATATGGATTTAAGTGTTGCAGTATTATGTTGTCAATGTTGACAAGACAACTTTGTTATAAGAGGGAGAAATTTCCTTTTGGATGCAGTTGTTCAATGTATTGAAAGTGATTGAGATCTACTTGGGCAGGTTTTAGGAATCGAGTTTGTAGTAGCGCCTTTTGTTCAAGCGGTAACTACAGGACGCTAATGAGACCCCCATACCCTTACCCGTGCACCCTTTTAAGAGGCCGAATCCTTTCACTAAATTCACCCAAGGTCCCTTCACATTCACCAAAGAGTAGGTAGTAAGAGTAGGTAGCTGGAGGTAGGAGAGTTCACGGATGAATGCATGCATGCTCCAGAGAATTCAGATGCATTTATTAATAATTCACCAAGAGAGAGTGAGTGTATGGATAAGGAATGGTTAGTAGAATAACGTGGTGTATGAAAGAGTGATAAGTGCACTCACTGTATTTCTGTCCTGTCTAGGTACCTGTTGTAAGTGTGCTCTGTCTCAAAGATATCTAGGTAATTATCTATCTATCTTTCCATTTTATAAGTCTGGCGAATACCTACCCGGGAGTCGAAGATTGATTGGAGCTACCTACAGGGAGAGAGAGAGAGAGACGGGTAGTCACTTATTGTATGTCTTAGCATGAAATATCTTACTGAACATAGTATTGATACATACCTATCTGAAGGTAATACGAAGAAGATATTGCATCTCACGAAAGTATTACTACAAACACACACACACAAAGTCATGCCGAGAAGATGATTTCTTCCTATCAAGCCTCCCTCCTGCCTATCTTACTTCTTCCTTAGCCTATCGGGGATCAATCATTAGAAGAGTCCTAGAGGCTGACTAGGAAGAAAAGAAACGAACTTTGACTCAGGGATGAACTGAACGATCCATCAAAGTTAGGACTCAGGTCAGGACTACGAGCTACATTAGATACTCTTTAGCTGAGAGCATAGCATCATCATAGGCTATGATTCTATGATTAGCAGTACCCAACTAAGCTTGCCAAGTTTCTAACCACTAGCAGTGCATACCTAAGTATGTTATCTGGACAATTTGATATCTTGACCAAGTGAGAAGCAGGTAGAGTTAGTTGTTTATTTTAGACCACCTAGTACTGTTTCATAGATTAGTTGATTGACACAAACAAAAAGCTATTTACAAGTTGTCAAAGCCCCTAAACATGAACTTTCAAACTCTCGAAAGAATTTATAAAACAATTCAACGGCAACGGCAACGTCTCCTACAAAATTGATTGACAAAATTCCCAGTTTTTCTCTCACGCAGACGCTTTGTACATGAATTGAAATGTGCATTGGTCTCTTGAAGTAAAGCAAAGCCCCCTCTGATATTCCTCCTAAGCGCCACCCTTACCGAGCCTGCTAATCAAATGAGCATCCTTTGTTTCGAAAATTAGTGTCATAGGTACTAGGTATTACAAGTTCGTGTTTCCAAATGAACGGATCTTGTAACAGATTTAAACCCTCGCACGGTTTAGCAATTTCTTGGGCTATGTATTTCCGGTTTCGATGAAGTCAAATGTTTATGATCATCCCCAAGAGGGAACTGGTCACTTCTACGGGGTGTTTCTTTCTTACATGTGTGTTTCCCCCCTCTTTCTAAATGCACCTAACAACCATGGAATTTCTAGAAGCGAAAAAGAAGTATGATGGAAGCTCACGCATTGATCTTCCACATTTTGAATTTACTTATTACGTAGGACGAACATCTTGTTAAAACATATGGTTTCTCGTATCAATTAGAAGTCGTTCCTACGATCGGGAATATCTTTTTTGGGGGAAAAAAAAGTCCGTTAGACGTTAATGAATTGTTATTTTTATCATTTGGCGCAAGATAATATCACAAATTCATAACCTATGTGTGACATCGAATTCTCCGAACTCCTCAAGGATTAACCAGTAGGTGTTTACAGCATCTCCACATGCCTATCTGATAATATGTGATGAACATTTCGCGAATTCTAGAAATTTCTGTGTCTTAACGAGTAGGAAGATCAGCCTCTTGACCCTCGAAGATTGGCAGTTCTTTCTCTATATCTGCCCAAACCTTGGTGCCGTCAACCAACTCTTTGATAGCCGCCAGGATCTTCTCCTGGGATGCACGGACTTGCTTGGTGGAATCTCTATCTCTCAAAGTGAATGTACTATCGTTAACACTTTGGAAGTCGACAGTGATGCCCAGAGGAGTACCAAGTTCATCGTTTCGGCTATAACGCTTGCCAATGGATGCCGAAGAGTCATCAATACGGCTAGAAATACCCATGGATCGGAGTTTATATGAGATTTGCTTCAGGAAGGGCTTGAAACTCTCATGAGAAGAGAGGGGAACGAGCAGTACTTTAGTGGGAGCAACAATTGGTGGGAATGAGAGGACCTATATCTCGTTAGTCGCTACAAATGCATGAAAATGAACGATCACTTACACCACGTGCTTCATCGCCACCTTCGCTACCACGGGTCCAGTAGTTGTGCTCCATCAAGGCGTACAAAATTCTACCGATACCAAATGAAGGCTCAATTACGTTTGGAGTATATTCTCTGGTGTTTTCAACCCGGGTTCGGAGCTCAATCTTGATAAGATCAGCACCAACTTCCGCTTTACCATCAGCGATTCCATCGACCTCAATGATAATCTTTCCATCGTCTTTGAGCTCTTTTGCAAGGGATTCTAGCTTTTCTTGCGACAGAGCTTCAATAGCAGCCTCAACAGCCTTACCGTCCTTCTTGAATTTGGGGCCGAACTTCTTCTTATCAAGATCAACTTGCCACTCCTCGACGCTAATTGGAGTATCTAATCTTTGACGGACCATCAAAGCCGCACCAGTCTTCTTTGCGTGTACGCTGAGATCGTAAGCGCTTCTGTCAGCACAACCAACACACTCAACCCAACCAGAGCTGGTATGCAACTCGGCATCCCAGCAATCTGCAGCATAATGAGCCATCTCATTGGCCATGTGCTGTCTGAATCTAACTTTGGATTGATCAACACCAATCTTTGCAAGGAAGAGCTGGATTCGTGCCAAAAAGTAGCCAAGAGTCTCGTTGTCGACAGTGCCATTTTCGACGGCCTTGCCGATAGCCATTTTTTCAACATCAGTTTTACCGGCTAATTGAGTATGGCGATTCAACAAAACAAGCTCTACATCTTTGACGTCGTTGAAACGTTCATGCTTCTTGCCGCCTTCAGGATCGACAAAATGTTCAATCTCAGCCATCAAGAACTCTCGAACTCTCAATAAACCACCACGGGGAGAGATTTCATTTCTGTATGACTTGCCAATGGAAGCAGAAGCAAATGGCATTTGTTGTTGATTGTATTCGAGAAGCTTGGCGAAGTTGAGAAATTGACCTTGGGCAGTTTCTGGGCGTAAATAACCTGGCGTGTTACTGCTTGGGCCAATTGCAGTCTGGAACATAAGGTTGAAAGCTACTGGTGCGGAAGGCTCCATGCCAGTTTCTGGGTTCTTCATTTCGTACTTTTTGATCAATTGACCAAGTTCTTCTCCATTGTAATTATCAATCTAAAAAGTCAATTTTCATACTTGTAATGTCATTAAATGGACGTACCTTGGCCAAAATCTCCTCGTATTCTTGAACAACTGTATCATCGAGTTTCACAGCTTCAATTCCCTTAGTCTTCTTCTTCTTCTTCTTTTTTGATGGGTCCTCTTCTTCTTCGACAACTTTGACACCTCTAGCTTCCTTGTCACCTCTCAACCTCGACTCAAGTATGTCTTCAACAAAATGATCCGCTCGCATGATATCGCCGTTCTTGGGGTCTTTGCACATCCAATCTGCAAACTTCTCAACATGACCACTAGTTTGGAGAACTTCAGCTGGAGTCAATGCTGTGCAGTCCAGTTCCAACATATCTTCTTCCAAGACGAAATGTTTGCGCCATAAGTCAATAACGTTCGCCTGCAAGGCGCAACCGGGAGGACCATAATCATACTACGTGTGAAGTCAGTAATTGCCCAGAAAACGACTTCCTAGAATCGACTAAGTGTCTGAAGTTTTATGGTGAAGTAAAAGGGTTGTAGAAGTCGAAACATGCAGAAGGTATTGGACATGGGGAGCATTGTATGAAAGACTTGTTGCTTGCTTACAAGACCAGCGACTCCATTATAGATTTCGAAAGAGGGAGTGTAGAACATGCGCCGCCTCAACATAGAATCGAGGACTTGACGATCAAGGGGCTGACCCTTAAGGGTGGTAGTGGTCGACATTATTTTGTCCTTCTTTCGTGTTGGTGTTTGGTATTTATGGTGGGGTGTAGTAGCTGTAAAGGTTCGAAATATGAGCTGTGGGTTTAGTTTTGGTTTGACAACAATATTTCTTGTAAGGCTACAAAAAGATCGCATTCACCGAAGACTCATCCAATGATAGGTATGAGTCAAAGAAAGTCTGGGGAACTTTTCAAAGCTTTGCGATTTATCAAGGTCGTGGGGGAATTTCTTTTTGTGTGACTCGTCGCGAGGGGGACAGCCTTGTAGATCCATCCACCAATCGGGAAGAAGCGGCCGCATACCGATATCAGCTAAAATAATTTTTGGATTTCCTCTTCGGTTTTTCTAGACATCCTTTCCTCTAGGTTTTTGTTCTACCGACACTTATAGTATTCTCACAATGGGTTCCAAACGAGTGCACCCAGCCTCTTCGAAGGCAGCGTTACCTTTTAAAACTGGTAACAAATTCAAGAGACAAGATCTTCATATCAAACAAAAGAAGGCTCGCGATAACGATCGCAGAGATATACGCTTCAAACGAAAGAGAGAAGAAGATAGAGATCCCGAATTGAGAAGGCAGCGATTAGCAAAGAACATTCCACATACAATTGATAATAAGCGTGTTTGGGATGAAGTATCGGGCGATGGAAACGACCTCAATATCAGTGTAGATGTCGAGCAATTGAAGAGAAGGCGCATAGAAGAGGCGGAGGCTGCAGAGCAAGAACCATTAGATAAAGAAGTAGAGGAAAAGGACGATGATGTCGATAGTATGCTGGACTCGGATTCTGAGAAGGGATCAGACGACGAGGATGAAGAAACCGAAAGCCGACCTCGAGCAGTTAGCAATGCGCCTTCAACAACCAGCACAAATCTCGACCTTACACCATCTTCCTTATCCCTAAAATTTCCCACGCTCTTCACGGATGAACCTCCGCCAGCTCCAAAAATTCTTCTCACAACCTCCTTAAACTCTACACTCCATGCAGAAGCTCATCTGTTATGCACTCTCTTTCCAAACAGCAATTACGTTCCTCGATCGGCCCATCGCTATGGACACAAATATTCTCTACGAGAGATATGCAAATTTGCTACGAATCGCGAGTATACATCCGTTGTTATGCTTAAAGAAGACGCCAAGGTGCCCACTGGCTTGACCATCGTCCATTTACCATCTGGTCCCACATGTCATTTCTCGATCAAGAATTGGGTTGAAGGAAAGAAGTTGCCTGGTCATGGTAACCCAACAAATCACTACCCAGAACTCATTTTGAACAATTTTCGCACACCATTGGGATTGTTGACTGCGAGATTATTCTTGACGCTATTCCCACCACAACCAGAATTACAGGGTAGACAAGTAGTTACGTTGCACAATCAACGTGATTATATCTTTGTCCGAAGACATCGATATGTTTTCAGGGAGAAGCGAGAAACAGAAAAGAGCGTAGTAGGACCGGATGGAAAAATCGTGGAAGGTGTTGAGGGCATTAGAGCTGGATTGCAGGAGCTGGGACCACGATTTACGTTGAAGTTGAGAAGAGTTGATAAGGGAATTGGCAGAGCAGGCAGTGAAGGGGATGATGCTGTTCAATGGCAGTGGAAGGCTGGAATGGAGAAGCAAAGAACAAGGTTCAACCTTTAATTTGTGGTACTTTGTTATTGTACTCTCTATACATACATAATTTGATTTTTGATACCCTCATACATACAAGTGCCACCCAACATGGTGTTCCTATCCTGCAAGTCTTCAATTCCGGAATACTTCTAGTTGCTTGCCTCTTCTCCAACTTTTCACATATTCATTGTAACTCTTAGCCCATGAAGGGAGAATCCACTACTTGGGAACAATTGAAATTGCTGGCCTACTACGATTGACAGTGGTCATAACTAGTGAACTTACTCCCCTTCATCCAATTCGTCAATTTCTTCAAAGCGGCCGGATCAATATGTCTGTTAGTCTTAAAAAAGGCCGTCTCAAACGGATTCACATTGATCCCGAGATAAGGTCCTTCGATCAAAATCTCTCCCATCTTCGTCACTGTGCAAAATCTCTCATATTTCCTTCTTATTCCTGATAATTTATTCTGCTTCTTGGCTACATGTTTTCCAGAACCTTTAGGATGATGGCCATGATGACCACCCTTCTTCATCTAGGTCCTTCCTGGTCTTTTATACTACCTAATCGGTTGACAGCACTCACGATTACTTCGACGCCGTATCCCCCAGCATTGACTGACGCTGCAGCGCCTATTCCGACACTGATCGCACCACTGAAGCTACGGAAACCGTTGTTGATTCCAGATGCAAATTTTTCTGATTCGTCCAGTGCGAGTTTGATATTATTCGCAAGCTGACGCGGCAATCTGATAAGCACATCTTGGGAAGGGCAGAGTTTTGTTTTGATTTTAAGAGAATAAGCAGTCTAAATCATAGATCGGATGCGTTTGGTGTTGTTCTTGACGGAGATGATTTTGTGAATATCAATTTCGCCGTTCGAAATGAAGATGAGGTCGGCTGTATCATGGAGACCATGATTTATGGAATACTGGACATTGATTCTCGCTTCAGGTGACTGAAAGGACCTATAAGATATGCGGCTCTTCACTTTACGCAGAGGACTGGATCGTTGCTAAAGCAGTTACATTGCCTCCTACGGCGGTTGCATTTTCTGCCTGTTGGTTTGCGAGAAAGCAGTTTAATACAAGTCAAAATTTCAAGGAGCATCTCTTCAAAGAATGCTAACTATCATCCCATGAGATTGGCCACTTCCTGAGAGGAGAGCACGCTTGCAGATCTTCTCAGAATACCCATGATTTCAGTATCTTTGGCAATAATATAGTGGCATCAAATGCTACTGGAAGTGTCTGGGGTATTTAACATGCTGTGCTACAAGCTATCCAGCAATATTTTGAATCCAAAAGTTACGCAAACCGATCATCTCCAGATCGATAGAGCTCAGCAAAGCACTAGAAAAAAGTATGGAGCCAAGCTCCCCCGACTGTCATATGTGCAAGTCCTTAATGACTTGAGCGTCGAGATCCTTCGAGGCTGCACTACAACCTGTGCTTAGAATGTCGATAGCAAAATATGCTCCCGAAATCATCTAAACCGAAAAAATCCTTGTGGTGAAACAGGATTTCAACAACTGACAAAACACTATACAAAGACATCCTATCCTGTAGTTGAGGCTTTGGGAGCTTTCGTCAGATATTTTTGAGTCGGTTATGAATCCTTTATGCCTGAACTAGACTTCGCTGTGCTTCAAGTATACAATGATGGAAAGCTTAAGAGATAACTTTACCTCATTCCCTCTACTCTGCATAAATCAAAGGCCGTTATCTATCCCGTGGAATCAAATGAGACTTGGAAGAGTGGGGTGACGTTTACACAAACGATTTCCTTCCAATCTTAGAGATGATTGCCTTATCAAACCAACCTTAACATAACATCCCACTCAAGCGGCATGATGAACAAAACGACAAAATCCAAGATACCAAAGCTGAGACATGAATATTGTACACTCTTTTCAATATTCGATATCAACTCATGAAGTCATTATTTTGAACTAAAAATAGAAGTGATATATTGATAAGCTTTTAGATTGTTATTGGCATCATACAGTCTGAATTTCAATGTAAATTGATACGACTATAAGATATCAGGATGTGAGTAATTTCAACGCAAGATGATCATTCTATCTAATGATTTAGTGTAACGTTCTTTTCCTCCAGACTCCAATAATCCAATTAGAGAATACCTACTAGCCTACCTAGAGTCAACAAGGCAAATAGCTTTGCTGTTATCACACTTCGCTGATAAAGCTCGTCATTGATGGTTATCGGGATATTTCATGATAACCAGGCCGCGGGGTAGTAGCCAGTGACATTTCAATTGTCGAATGAGAGCTCAGAGTTGGTCGTCACCATTGCATATACTTGCTCTTTTGGGCCTCTAAGTGGAGAGTCTAGATACACTGCATAATCTCATATCTATATGATCACCGGCCATGATATACTTCGTGATAAGTTCGTTATACACCTTGACCACTTGAGATGTCTTAAAAACAGAGAGATCATCGCAATGGTTACCTGGCCAAACAACTAGTACCTTCTGTCGTCTGCTACGGTCAAAAGGTAAAAGTCAAACTTATTTCTACAATAGCTGCCTTTCGATATCTCCTCTGCTGCTTGTTACTGTGTCTTGTTTCACGATGGAGCACACCAATCATCAACGTGATGAACTGGACACACGCGCGGTCCCAGGGACCATTCACTTGGTAGATCTTGAAGGTGTAATGAAGGGGCAGCATGCATCTGCATCTCGACTACAAGATGTTGTCCTTGTTCCATCGCCATCCAGTGATCCAGACGATCCGCTAAACTGGTCGCCGAAACGGAAGATGCTATCGACAGCATGCATGTCCATGTATACTTTGATGGTTGGAATAGCATCTGCCGCAGTTTACAGTGTATTGGAGCCCATAAGTGAGGACACTGGCTTAACAGTCGATCAGTTGAACGCCGGTACGGGCTACATGTTTTTGTTTTTCGGGGTGAGTTACACTATCTCGTATGCTTCATTTCACAGCATAAAACAATGGAAGGTCTAGAATGGTTGGGGAGGCATGGAAGAACAATCGAAGTTTGTCTCAAAATAGAGTCTAGCCCTTTCTTCCTTTCCATCAGAATAAGGTTACTTTTTACGGGATCATAGCAACATGTTTGATATTTGAGTACCCAGTCGCTGATGTTGTACTTCGAGTCCAGTGGGGAACTTTAATCGCCCAGCCCATGGCGCTACAATACGGCAAAAGACCGGTGTATCTGTTCTCTATGCTAGCAACTCTGGGGTCAGTAAATGTATAGTTCATCATATTGCTTGTAGAAGTACTGACAGAACAAGTACCATGCTATGGGTGCCGCATGCTACAACAAACTCTGCCTGGATTGGAAGTAAGATCTTACAAGGTGCTGTTGGGGCCCCTATCGAATCACTTTGCGAAATTTCGATCACAGATATTTATTTTGCCCACGAAAGAGGTTCCTACATGGGACTGTATGCTTTCATGCTGGCTGGAAGTAACTTTTTAGCTCCAATACTTGTGAGTCGTCAAGAGGTGATAATTGTCCCTCATTTGAGCTTACGATTTTATAGGCTGGCTTTATTAATGACGGACAAGGATGGAGATGGGTAATGTATTGGTGTGCTATCTTTCTAGCCATTGGATTTGTATTCTGCTTCTTCCTTATGGAGGAGACGAATTACGATAGAGCACCCCAAGAAAAGACAACTTCCGGAGATGACACACCTGGAATGACCACACCAACAGAAGGGGTGCTCCAAGAGAAGTCTTCCGCTTCTTCAGAGCCACTCGATCCTGAGAAAGGTACTTCTACCGACGTCTCAAGAGCAGCTAATCAGAATACTGAGCTCGGAACCGTGCATTACAAGCCGAAGACATATATCCAAAAGTTGTCTCTAAAAGATAAGAAAAGAGATTTCAGGCTCTTCCGGATGATGATTCGACCTCTCATCTTCATGTCTCTACCATCGATTGCCTACGCTGGATTCTCGTATGGCAGTAATTTAATCTGGTTCAACGTCCTCAATGGGACTGCCTCTTTGATTTTGAGTGCTCCGCCTTATAACTTTTCATCTTCCATGGTCGGATTGTCTTATGTTTCTCCCTTACTTGGAGTAGCTTGTGCTTCCTTTTATTCCGGAGTCATAGGAGATAGAGTCGTATTATGGCTCGCCCGTCGCAACAAGGGGGTTCTAGAAGCAGAGCACCGCCTTTGGCTGTTCTCAGTATCCATAATTCTCATACCTGCCTCTTTGATTCTTTGGGGTGTCGGAGCAGCCCATCATATACATTGGTTTGGACTGATAGTTGCCATGTTCCTTATTGCTGGCTCAAACGGTATTGGTCTTCAATTGTCTGTTTCGTACTGTATCGACTCTTATAAAGATTTGAGTGGTGAAGCCATGGGTATGTAATCTTACCTTCTTACATCTTCCTATATGCGTTCCCCAAGTCCAAGCTAACGATTTCACAGCTACTGTAATTATCATCCGAAATACAATGAGCTTTGCAATAGGCTACGGTGTCACGCCTTGGGTTACTAACATGGGTTATCAAAATGCTTTCATTGTGGCTGCCTTTGCTGGTCTTGCTCAAGTTCTTACGTTCTTAGCGGTGGTGAAATGGGGCAAGAGTTGGAGAAATAACACGAAGGGAAGATACTACAAATACGTGGAGGAAAATGAGATCTTAGGAGTCACGCACTAGGAGAATTAGAAGTACAGGTAGGGAGGAGATTATGAACGAGATATTAGCTCTCCTCCCGCCAGTCATATTTCCACATACTTTAGAACCGACTGAGGCTTCAAGAGACAGGTGACAATGAAAGGATGTACCCATCACAACACTCGCAGTATACTGAATGTATTTTGTTTGTTTCAACCTTGGCATTGAACACCAATGTCCAGCTGCCACATCAAAACTGGACATTATCGTCCGCTCTTGCTTCCGCTCGACAGTATATATCTGTGGTCACGTAATTTGGACCGAATGCACTCTCCAACATTAATATTTAAGTTGCGCGTCTGCGAAAACACGAGATGGAAATTTACACGACGTTTGCGTCCTCGCGCGCATCAAGGAGTACAGTGTTGGATTCGGGATCTCGGATCTACAGGCATTTATATTAAGTGGTGAGACTCGTCCGAACTCAGCTCTAGCTCAGTTGCACGAGGCCTAACTGCAGAAAATTTGACGATCTCGGGAGGAAACAAGACACTAATAATAGTCATCATCGGAAAAATAATGAATCGAAAGTTGCAACGGCTGAATCCATCCGCTACCTTATCAATGCCCAGGTGCGCAAGGAGATTTGATTATGCTTAAACTGTGAAGGCTGTTGATCTGATTTGACCAAAGTGCCTTTTTCCGTTTGCTCATAAGTTACCTTTGAATACGAGCTACATGACACGCTCTGCGAAAGCTTCACAACAAACGTTCCAACTGGCGAAGGCTTTCGCGAAGAAAACATGATTATTAGGGGCCAAAGGACGTGCATAACGCCAAGTCCTCGTCATCCGGGAGGAGCCATGACTGAGATGATCTCGAGATGACTTTGTTTTTCTCGAAAGCTTAAACTGCAATTTCCACTGCAGGCCTTCTCCCATTCCACCACTTCCACCGATGGTAAGGGAGTTCCATATAACGTTAAAACAAAGAAGAAAAGCGACGTGAGAAGAAAAGCGACGTGAGAAGAAAAAGGAGGTTGTGATCAAAACATGCGTATCCAGCTATCACAAAATCATTGCATTTGCATGGCCATCATGATTGGCACCACGAAGTCGGAAAGACCCCTTCATTCGAAATTTTCCGAATTTTTAACATTCTTAGCAGCAGTAGTAAGGGATCATGCAAGAAAGTCATGTACCGTGCGCACGTTCAGCCGTCCAACGTGATTTCTAGCATGGAAGCATTCATGTTCATTAACATTTCTACGCTTTTTCTTGTTGTCGACTTGATCGGGCATGGCTCTAAGACCTCTCTTACCCCACTCACTATCCTTTCTACTCTCGGATCATTGTGACCTACATGGATATTTTCTCTAAAGAGTATAATCGGTTCTTGGACCTGCATCTATTTGTAGGAACTATACAGAAAAAGAAAACCGTCCCATGTGTCTCATTCAGTGATGGGAATCATAAGATGGCTGCTCAAATCCTCCATCCTTGTTGTGCATCTATGGTAGGCTGCACGTTGACGGTTGTAGCCATACAAATCGGATTTACTCACAGTTTCGACCCTATAAAACTATGTTACTTTTACACACTTCCCTACGTCTCTACTTCCCTGCTCATTGTCGCTGCATATCAGGTCAGCTTGCTTCTGCTTTGTGGGTTTATTAGAAAGTCTACTTCCCACTTTGCAACGCTCTTCACTTCTTCATCGGTTCTTATAACCCTCACAGTCGCTTCAATTTCTTGAGAACAGTCTTTCGTTTACCACCAGTCTCGACATAATAGCAGCTGGGTATAAAGTTTCGCGTCTATAATTTTTACTACATATAATCTTGCAACCAACTCATCTATTGGAAGCAATTGCACCTCACACTCCTTCAAGAAACGATCATCATGAAGTCTGTTTCGATCCTCGCCACTGTGGCCTTGGCTTCGCTGTCAAGTGCACATCCAGGGCCTGCCATGCCAAAGTTGATGGGCGGCAGGGAATTCCTACAAACTGTCAAGGGCCGCAATGCCATGCCAGCTCCAATCGCATCCCCCGTACATGTAAAAGAGAGATCGCCTAAGGTAGCACCAAGAGCGGACGATCAAAATACTTGCGGTCCAGGTGTTGGTAGCTGTGTAAATGCATGCTGCTCCCCAGAAGGGTAGGTACTTTTATCTCAGCCCTACAGACCTCAACTAACGGATCCACCAGATATTGCGGTACCACGAAAGAGTATTGTGCAGCTCCAGATTGTCAATATAAATACGGACCTCTTTGCGATACACTCCAAGCTCCAGCTGGTGCTTCTACAGCAAATATTCAACGCCCACACATTGGGACTGTTCCATATGGTGGAGCTGGCATTTACGATTGTCAAGTTGCTGGAGGTTTGTTTCCCTGGGCTTTTTAGGGTTTTAAAAGAGGCTAATTCATGTACTCTGATAGATATTGCCTTTACTTTCGATGATGGACCTTATCTTTACACTAATGATCTCCTGGACAAACTTGCAGCTTATGGGGCCAAGGCTACCTTTATGATTACCGGTAATAATCTTGGAAAAGGTGCAATTGATACCACTGCAGAATACACTGCTGTTATCAAACGTATGGTCGCAGAAGGTCATCAGATCGCATCCCACACCTGGGGTCACCAGAATCTGACATCCCTCGACCCAACAACGTTCAAGAATCAAATGTACTATAACGAGATGGCTTTCAGAAACATCCTCGGATATTTCCCAACATATATGAGACCTCCTTATTCCGAGTGTAACGCCACCTGCGGTGATCTCATGGCAGACTTGGGATACCATGTAACTTATTTCGATTTGGATACTGAGGGATATTTGAACGATGCTGCAACTCTCATCCAGAACTCCAAAAACATCTGGGACAAGGCCATTGCCAAGGCAGATGCCACTACAGGAAACTTCTTGGAAATCGAACACGACATCCATTATCAAACCGTCTACAATCTTACAGACTATATCCTCGCTTCCATGTACTCTCACGGATTTAAATCTGTCACCGTTGGAGAGTGTCTCGGAGATCCATCTGAGAACTGGTACAGAAGTGGCAATGCTAATGCTCCTGTCCCTACACCAAGTAAACAAATCTCCGATGACGGTTCCTGCAATGCTGATATTACATGTCTTGGCTCCACCTATGGAAACTGCTGTTCTGTCAATGGTTATTGCGGATCTACAGACGCCTATTGCGGTACCGGTTGTCAATCTGCTAGTGGAACATGCTCTGGATCATCTACGTCCTCAACTAGCGCAACCAAATCCTCAACTTCTGCAAAGCCAACCAGCACCCAAAAGGTTTCAGATGATGGAAGTTGCTCAAGCTCTACCACTTGTAACGGATCTAGCTTCGGTAATTGCTGCAGTCAATATGGATACTGTGGAAGTACTACTGATTATTGTGGTACTGGATGTCAAAAGAGCTTCGGCACTTGTACTTAGGGGGTAATCAGATGAGCATGGAATGGAAATTGGAAAAGTTTTTACTTTCACTGTAAATATAACACTATGGGGGAATTGGGGGAATTTTTATGATTACAATATAATTATTGTTTAATGGATCTTTCAGACAAAGCCAAGCAAAACACCAGAATCTACTATATATTGACCTCTCGGTACACCTGGTGAGTATGGCCTGGCTTCTAGCATCCTCTCAACATCATGAGGTTGTTTCATCGCTCCAAATCCAACTCTTGTCTGAACCGCGACCGTGAAGGTCCATTCACAATACACACCTCTTATGAATGAAAATTCCAACAGCAGAGAAGTGAGAGATGCAAGTCAAACCTTCGGAGACTAAATACACACCTCAAACCATCTAAGATCTGAAAGGACGAAATGAGTTGTACATCAAAAACACGCATCCTTTGCCAAATTCGATACAACATCAGACAATCAGTATCTGAATCGCCATTTTCGCACAGCACAATAGAACCCTTCAATTGATTTGATCAGGAAATTTTAATCTCATTAGGATTCCCTATTGTTGTTTCATAATCATCGAACTGCCAGTGATTCTCAAAATTTCAAACAATTAAAGTGACTTGGTACATCACTCTTTATTTCGCAAGTCGAAAGCAAGCCAATGGAACGCTAAGCTATAACGAGTAACGCTTTTACTAGATACACACCATTATTTACTCAAGATTATCTGAAAGAAAGGTTCGAACAAAAAATGATCCCTCCACAATATCAATAATACCTGATAAACTCATCGCAACTCAAGCCCCCTGCCTGTATCCATATATATACCTCTCATATTGTACTCATCGATCATCTTCAAACGGTCATACTTGCACCAAGAAAGACTTTCTATCCTCGCTTGTTAAGTTCTAGGTCCTATCGTGAACATGACAAGTCAAGCGGCGGATTCGCAGATTAATCATGCGGATGCTATCAATTAGTGCGTTTTATTTCCCTCCTGATATCTCCCCTCGAGACCTCCTTCAACATCCGGTTCAATGTGTGCTTTTGGGAATTGAATGACAAGACAACAAAAATCGATATGAGAAGTGACAAAGACTGACAAAACACACAGCTGGGAAAGCATAGAAGCAAGTGATGATGGAATGCTGGGCGGCTTTCCGTATATCAGTCGAGTGGATATACAGGGATCAAAGAACTTCTTAGGGAAGCTGGGGGTAAAGGGTGCGAAATTGGGGAGGGCGGTGGATTGTGGGGCGGGGTTAGTTATTCTTTGTTGTGGAAGTTTTGTGTCTCTTTCCTGGGCGTGGATTAAGTCTTCTTGTGGTGTTTTCGCCGTGTTGTCTCTTTTCATCAGCTGATCAAGGATGAGAGTTCAATAACTGAAAGTTCAGTGCTATCATACGAATTATATCATGGATTGGGGTTGTTCGTTGGTTTTAGAAGCTTGAACATATGTGAGCTAATACGACTTTCAGAATCGGTCGAATTACAAAAGCATTGCTTCTTAGTGTTGCTGACACAGTGGATATTGTGGAACCAGTAACGAAGTTCTCTTCTGCGCTTATAAACCAACCTGGAGTTGGCCAAATATACTCGGTTGGCCTCGAAGCGTGGACACCAGATGCAGAAACCAGATATGACTTGATGTGGAACCAATGGTGTCTAGGACATTTAACTGACTCTCAACTGGTGGAGTATCTTCAAAAATGTGGAAAGATGTTGAATGAAAATGGTTGGATCATAGTGAAAGAAAACATGAGCACGCATGCTGGAAATGACATGTTCGACGAGCTGGATAGCAGCGTCACTAGGTATGTGAAAACCATAAATTATTGGGATATCAAGCTTACATTAAGCGTTAGGACTGATGAGAAATTCCGTGCACTCTTTGAGAAAGCTGGCCTGAAGTTAATGAAAACAGAACTGGCGAAAGGTTTCCCGAAGGGATTGTACCCTGTCAGGATATATGCATTGAAACCGGAATGAATATCAAGCATAGCTGCCACAAAATTCTCGACATATTAAAAACACTCCGCCTACCACGCGACATAAAAGTGCCGGTTACTTGACAACTTCATATGGCTTGAAGGGGTAATGCAGGTCAAGGAGAGTATTTTGGGACAAATGATTCTATCCTAGAAGATAGATTCTGAAGAGTCCAGTGCGAGATATACTCGTCTACCACTGGAGTAATTTGCCACACTGTATAAGAATATGAAGATTATTCGTTCTCAAATGAAATGAGTCTAAGCAAAGTCGCTGAGCTATTGAGGTGAATACATTCTCAAAATGGTGACCCAGATCAACCCTATAAACCTTCGATCTCAAGTGTGAAGCTCAAAATTCTCTTACAATCCACAACTACGACCATGTTCCTTCTTGGAATGGTAGAGAATCAACTATTTGAGAAACACCTGGACGTCTCCAATCTCCTGGTTTGTCTGTTTTTAATTGCTCACACACCTTTATCATCATCAAGATATAAGATCTTACAATATGGCCCCACGATTAGTTCCGCTTTTGCAACTCAGTTTTCTTGGTACAATATTTCTTATTCTACGAGTTATCATCCTCTCAGCAAGTATTTACGTGCTCGAACTACGGACCCCAATTATCTCCACCAGGCTCTCCCTTGACGAGTGGTAGTTCTTCACCTTGAGAATTGAGCCCCAAAACCCAACTAGTACAGGGATACTTCACTCTTACGGGACAAAAGTTGGCCTTCGAAGATTTTATTTCGAAGTTAACCATTTCTATAAAGGATTTCAGTTGCTCTCGATCACTGAGCTCATTTTTCTTGCTTATTGATTTATTGTACTCTTGCAAGGACGATCGTCAGCACCACAATTTCGACGGCGGTGATCACCCTAAATTGAGAGTCTATCGCAATTTTTGTTTCTAGGCTTGGCTGTACTTCTTGTTGTTCTTTGCCACCATCTAGAATTCGAAAACTTCGTCATTCTTTGGTCTTTTTGCGCAAGTCATCTGTGATGTGAATGTTCATTCTTTTTCCTTTGCATCATTATCCAAATTCCAATCTTTCTGCTAAAGCGAGTTCAGCAGTTAAAATGGACGATATGTCGGAAATCAAAGCACAGGATCGAAAGAGTTCGAGTTTGTCTGATCGGGGAGATTTTGTGAAGAGAAGGAACTGTTGTATAGAACCGTCAATGGAGACGTTATTTGTCACGACAGTCTGCTACTGGAAACAGCGAAAATGTTACTAATTCGAATACACAGCTCCATAGAAATAGATGATGCTCATCCTTCTCAGATGACCAGATGTGATTCCTTGTGACATCTATCTTGAGCCTCTATATTCGACGCTACAATATTTGTATAAAATCATTTCTCCTTGCGGATATGCTGATAAAAATCATGTATCAATAAAACGCAAGCAGATTCATTTCCACCCAGCCAAAAATTTCCAACTAGAATCTCGGCAGGCTTTTGATTCCTACATCCATTATCCACCTCACCCACACTCACTATACCAGTTTTTTGTTCTTCACATACTATTTATCACCTCACTGGTGACCAATTCTAGCGAGCGATTATTGCGATATAGTCCCACGTTCTAGACCATCGATCCATGTATCTGAAGGCCACACATCTGGTCTGGGTACAAATATCCTTGAATCTCCATAATACAAGTTTCACAAGGCATCTATGTATTACTCTATATAAAGCTATCCCAGGGAAGAATTTTCGATGCATGGAATATTGTGATATCTAGGTATGTATTTTGTTACGTTTCTCTTGTATTTCAGGTGTTTCGGTCAGTCAGTCAGTCAGTCAGTCAGTCAGTCAGTCAGTCAGTCAGTCAGTCATTCAGTCAGTCTTCATGACCAATACCTTTAGTGGAGATTGTACAGGGTACAGCATCGGTTTCCGAGGAATTGAGATACACAGTGTGATGCATATGTGGATGATTGCTCGGCCTGGCTTCCTGTCTATGTTTGTTAAGAGCGCAGATTATGTACCAATAGAGAAGAAATCTGGAGAGTAGAGATAGGATAATTAGCTGTCGACTCGTTACTACAGTGTTGCTCCTCTATTATTTCTTTGCTTTGCGTAAGGGTTTCCAGCGATTGCAGCTACGTGCATTCGAATTTTGGACTTCCCACGTAAGACCTACAATCCACACTGCACATAAGATTCCCATATCAAAGCCAGCCTCCAGACAGCAAAAATCACTTTCAAATCATCAAAATATCATATTGTAGTCACCCGCTCGTTTCTGCATAGAAGCTCCACTTGCTATCGAAAAGCGGGAAGTGGATCTCGTGTTCAGGTATTGATTTGTAGATGTGATTCTGTGAGTCGGGGTTTCTGTAGACCAAAATTTTTGCGATGTTGGGGAGGAAGTAAATTCTGGGGATCTTTTAGAGTGTGAAGATGGAGATAGAGGGAGAGGTGAATGAGATGGCGTTGGATTTCTCGTATGAGGGGATAGTTATATGGTTCTTCTTCAAACTGTTGACTACTGGTCAAGGGAGATACAAATCAATATCGTTAATACTACACTACTCGAGCATGAATGAATATTTCGTGTAGAAATATAGTAATTCGTCAACTATATCACCCATTGGCAAACACTAGCTCGTAAAGTCGACGCATCTCGCATTCATCCCATGTAAGAATACACTTCGAATTTTCTCTCAACGTGGAAGGTGAGCTGACAAGCTACGACAAATGATTCGGCTTAGCTAGTCTTCACTTCCTTTCTCTTTGAGCCGCAGCAAGGCATCCTGAGCATGGAGCATAAAAAACTCACTCAAATATCCATCCCTATTTCCCATCTTGCATCTTAGGCATAGAGGTAGTAAAACCCCAAAGCACTAAACCATCTACGCACCCACCTTCCCCCAAGTTCAGCATCTCTCCTCCCAAACTATCTCGTAACAACAATCTCAAACCATCCAAACCCACATCCCCAAGAAAACTCTTCCTCACACCGACTATTTCCCTCTCCCAATCTCCCTTCTAAATTAAGACCAAAACCAAGAATTTTTCTCCAGAACAAAAGCTTCTAGACATTTTCCACAGCGCCAACTCCATATATATGAAGATTCTGACATGAAAAATTTCCACCACCATGTCACATCTGTGCGTACCCAGCTCTCTCTTCACTCGAGAGTTCCGGGGTCCAGAAGTGGGACATGCGAGCCGGGCCCCCGGCAGACGTTCCACTAGAACAATATGATAGGATAACTGCGTGCCCAGCTACCGACCCAGGAACAGGAACAGGAGCTAAAATCTAATTGAATGCTTTTTCGATAACCAATGGAAAGACGTTGGAAAATGGTCGCGTGAGCTTTTTTATGAAACAAATGATAGGTAAGGATTAAGGTAGAGCTAGCTATGCTAAATTGAACTCTTTCATAGCCAGCGGTTAGCCTCGCAATTTGTCGTGGTCCACACACAGTAATAGATCCACAGGGCTGAGGAAACTTTGCCCTAGTAGCCTTATGCCCAACACGATGTACAGGGATACGTTTGGTCTAGAACTTTGATAAAATTCTGCTGATTCATATTGAATATAATATTTGTGAACAGTCCACTGAGAACAGTAACTTTCTGGATATTTTGAGAGAAATGGACCACATAGACTCATTTCGCGAACAATATAACGTAAATAGACAAACATACCATATTATAGAATCCACAGATATATGCCCTGTAAACAATCACAAGCCATGATATCCCTTCCATCAGCTTCACAAAGAAGGAAATATACGCCAAACTCCCCAGTACCCATTACTCACAAGAAACAAGCATAAAAAGATAACAGCCCTCCCTCTCCACTCGGAGAATAAAACCATCGTTCCCTACAGTTTAGTATTCCGGAAGTAACGAACCACCAGCCACCCATCGTGACAACATTCCCAATCCGTATGTGTTCCAGGTATGAAAAGTGGCGAGCAAATCAGCGACCGAACTGTAGACCGCGTTTTCTCCACTGTTTGCTGGGGATTCGATTCGAGAAAACTTCTCTCAAGGTAGGAGGTAGCTGGAAAACATGATTCCACATCAATTTTTACCAGGGAAATTATTTTTGTTTCATTTCATTCACCGTTGCAAACAAAAGTTGAGGTGCTATGGCCATCTGCGAGATTTTCATCGTATAATTCTCCGGAAAGGGTGTTGCGTGAGTGGTTCACGATATTTGAGTCCCATGTTCTTGGGCAGCCTTTCTCAAAGCCTGTCGTGGCTGGGTCTGCACGTACCTTGAAACTTTATTGTATGAAGATTTTCTGATATTCCAGATTGAGATTTAAATAGCTAGATTGGTGCTGAGTATATAGAGAGGGGGAAAGTCGTCGCACTTTGTAAAAGCTCTTTTGAAGATCGTAGTATTGTACATTCGTTTGGACATTGTAGCGAACGCTCATTCATTCGTGGGAGACGAAAATACATTCATTCATATCATTTCTGAAGTCTAGAAAGCAAAGAAGGAAACGAATAATTAATTTCATGATCTAATAATCCTCAAATCACATTATCAAGAATCGAAACTTTTCAACCCTTGACCATCCACACCCAAATAATTCCATGAAATTCGAGTCTCGATCCCCCCACATCGCCGTGGCCCCTTCTACTGGCGCCCGCATCCTCTGTATCGACGACTACAACGACGGCCGCGGCGTTTTCGTGCAAGCCTACCTCGAATGTCTACGTCTCTGGCAAGCCAACTGTTCGCCAGACCGCCGCTGGATATTCAACGACGTCTCATCCGCGGGACTCTATCTCGCCACCGACTTCAGCAAAAACCATCGTTCTCTCTTCCGAACTGAGCTCCGCAGACCCAAGCAAGAAGATCGAAGCAACAATTCTCTCCACGCATTCCAACAATCCAAAGCATGTGATAGTTCCGAAAAACGCGCCATCTTAGCGCGCGTGGGAACGAGAGAGATGAGGGGAATTAATCGCGAGGATTTCGGGACCAAGGATATGATTATATGTTTTGACCATGGGGATATGGAGATCTTGGCTTCGTTGCGCGATGAAGCAGAGCGGGAAACACGCGAGTCCCAGAAAGCGAAGATTCATTATATACCGCTTGGCAAGGGATGGGAATATGATTTAGATGCTTTTGCGTGGGCAAGAAAAAATGTTCGACAGTGGGCGACTAAGTACTTGAGATTTAGAGAGCCAGCTGAGTTGATCAGGAATGGGAGTTGGAGGACGATGCAGGTGGTGATTAATGAGTATGAGTGGATAGCTTTGG